CGAAAGAATTAAACTTCTAGTAAAAAATAATTGAGATAATAATGGAGTTATATGAAAATAGGCAGCTTAGCATTATAACAGAGTTTGGAAGTACAGATTTTATAAAAGCAGGAGATAGTATAGACCAAGAAGAGGTATTGTCTCTGTTGGTTTGGAGGATTTTTTATGATTCTTTGCTTTGTAAAGTACAAAAAGTAAAGCTAGATTACAAAATGCATAACGCAGAAATACATATGAACTCAATAAACACTGAAGTGAATATTAGAGTAAAAGTGTTAGTATATGCAGACGACACAACATGATTAACAAACAGTCAAGAAAGCATACAAAGTACAATCGACATCACACAGGAGTTTTATAAGTTAAATGATATTGAAATAAACTCAAACAAAACTGAACTTATAGTGTTAAAATCGGGTAAGAGAAAGTATGCAAAAGATTCTGCAATTTGGATGGATAATCTGAGAATCAAAATTATAGCAAAAGATCCTAAAGAAACTACAAGATTCTTAGGCATCTGGTTGTAAATCAAGAACCAAAAAAGTCTGATATATTCAAAGCAAAAAGCTTAGTAGGCAAAATCATGGACTTACTTAAGCACAAACAGATGTTTCTGAGCCAGGTTATATATATAAACAATGCAATTCTTATACCTACTCTTGAATATAGATTAAAGATCTCATATTTAACTAGCACAGTATGAGCGAATACACCAACCAATGATTTGTCTGATAAAATAGAAAATATCGATACCTTCTACGATAGCAAATATAATAACAAAACACCTAGAGATAACAAATTTCAAGAGTCTTTGGAATAAACATATGGAGTATCATATATCAGAGTTACTAGTTAGACTAAACACACTGGGCTTATTAGAAGAATCTTTGATAAGAAGGCTTAAGCAAGACCAGCTAAGAGCAGGATCTTTAAACTGTATCTTAACAAATTAGAATGTATTAGTAAAAGATGAAACAAAAGACTGCAACTTAGATATAAACGTCTTGCAACAAGCATGCACTCTGGGTTTTGTAATAGAAGAAAATGAAATTACAAAAAGCTAGAATTTAGACATTACAAAAACAGCGAATGATAAAGAGATCACATGTGTCAGTGAGCATTTAAACATGGCTTATAAAAAAACAAAAATAAGCAGCCTGGATTTAATTTTAGTTTTACAACTCATTGCAAAGGATGGCAAAACAATATATATATAGAATCAAGTCAAATTGGCAAATAGTATAGGTTTAAAAGGGAAAAAAGCAGGCTGGTTCACTAAACTAGAAAAAGAAATGCTAGAAAATCCTCTTATACGAGTAGTTAAAAATAGATATAACTGTAAAGCAAATAATGTTAATATACTTAGCTTAGAGACAAAAAAACCAAGTGCCGACAAAAGAGTAAAAGAATGAGTTTGCTGGAGAGATGAAGCAAGTGCAATGCTCAATGTAGAAAAGGTTAAAAAAAAAAGAAAATGCTTATATAGAGGTTGAAAAATACAAAGAAACAATATATTGTTATGAAAACGAAATGTAGCAGTTATTAAAAATTGATGAAAAAAGTAAAACCTGTATGGTTAAATGTAAAAAACTTAGAGACATTCAAACATAGTTTAGAAACAGAAAAGAGTACAAAGTTGATCTTTGAAAAAAGACACATAAAAGAGATAGTTGATAAAAAGGAAGAAAAAGTGCTAGTTAAAGCAAAAGAAATGAAAAGAATAAAAGAGAAGGGTAAAATAGGTATAAATTGCGAATGCTGGGAAATGGTTTTAGTTAATAGAATAGTGAAGGACGATATAATTAAATCTAGAATAGCAGAAAGTTTAAAACAAAATAGAGAATTAGATAGTTTATTCTTTTATACAGATGGCTTACTTGGTATTGCTGAAAATGAAGAAAAATTAGTAATAAGATGTGGAGTAATTCAAACCACAAAAACAGATTAGCTTGTGCAACAAATATCTTGTGTGACAAAGAGGTGGTTCTCATCTACAAAAGCAGAAATGGTAGCAATATTACTTGCATTACTAACTACACTCTAGGAAAGAAGGGTAAAGATACGAATGGATAGTAAAGCAGCAATATTGGCAATCAAAAAAGGCCTAGAGACAAACAAGATAAGATCTTAGCTGAAGACTAAGAATTGTGGTTTGGTAATAACAATTGTAGAGATGATTAAGACAAAAGAGCTAAATACACATTTCATAAAGATCAAGGATCACTCAGGTGATATATTCAATAATCTTGCAGATTTAAAAGCAAAAGAAGGCTCTAAGTCAACGGAGTACTTAAACCCAGAAATGTTATATATAAAAGATCACAAAATAAGATACACGTGGGAAGGTAAAGTAGTTGAAAAGCCTATTCATTTCTTTACTAAAATGATGGGGAGAGTGTTATTAAAGACAGAATGGGCTTTCTTACATAACACACATGATGAAACTCATCAAGAAAGAAAGGGTACTCAATCTTGGTCTATGCTGTGCAACATAATGAGGAGTGGAACCAGACAACGAAATCACACCTTCAAATCGAATACACTACAGCTCTTTGAAATAAAGTGCATAAACAACATGCTTCTAGTGTTTGAAAAACTTAATCAGAGAAGGCCGGAAACATATAAGACAGATAAATGTATTATATATAGAAAAAAAAAAGAGAATGTAAAACACCTAGTGAATTATAAAACTTCTCTAAACCTTCTTCGAGACTTGGAAGAGCAAGTAGTAGAAGCAACCCTGCGTAAATTAAAAAAGATAGAAAACTTGAAGACAACTAAAGAAGAAGTCTTAACAATAATAGAAAAGGAATCTCAAACTGAAGAATTACATAGAAGAGAAAGATAGATTAGAGGCCTAATCACAAAAAAAAAGACTTCAACGAGTTGAGACCTTTCTTCAACTTGAATAACCAAGCAAAAAACTTTTTAAATAGACTTTAGAAAAATTGGATAAAGAAAGTCTATGAGAGAATATAGGTTGCAAGATGTAAACTAATGCAGAAATGAGAGAGGGAAAATGAGATTGTGCCAAAAGATAAAAGAAGATCGCACAAAAAGGCAAGAAAGGAAAAAAAGAAGAAAAAACCACTAGATAAATGTTTTAGGAGAAAAGAAAAAGATAAAAACAAAAATGAGAATAAAAGATGGAGTTTAATTTTAGAGATAATTAAAAAAGAGGTTCTAAGATGGATTGAAGAAGGACAAAAGGCAGATTGGTGAAAAACTAATATGTAGTCTTGACAGGCAGTAAAAACTAGCTGTTGATGTATTATTGAAGCCAATTGCAGAATAAGATAATACAGAGGCGAATCTTGTTATAGCAGATCGCATATAGGTACTCAGTAAGAAAATGGGTAAGTCTTTACTTGTAATTTAGGTACTATAGAGTATAACTCTGTAAAAAAATTTAATAAAGTGAAGGCAAGACTGCCAAATTATAAAAAAAAAAAAGAGTTACAAAAAAAATTTTGGTGTTAAACATACTTATTATTTTGGTAGTACAAATTTACATTACATGAAATAATATAAAAAAAAAATGCTATTACAGAACTTTTTTTGTATTTTTGTAATATACAACTTAAAAAATATATTTTTCAGATTAATTATTTATAGTAAATAGTTATTTGGCATGTAGCAAAAAATACTGGTAAAGTAATACATTATAATTATTGTATATTATTCTTCACGTCAAAGTATTATAAAAGTATTATTTAAAAGTAAACTAATAAGATTCTTATAATTTACAGTTACACAATTTAATCAAATTAATTTATATAGGTAATCTAAACATTATCATTATACACAAATTTTTTTATTATATAGTTATAGATATAAATTGTATGTAAAAAATTTTTTTATTAATTTTTATCTAATGTGCAAATCTTAAACAGGCTATGTATTACAGTTTAAAACCCCAATTAATTAACAATATGTGGCTGCGCCACCTATTAATTTTCTCTACAATTAATTATTCGGCACCTCTAGTTATTAGTAAAGATGTTAAAAGTCCGGTCTGGTCTGGTCCGGTCCGACTTCACAAGTCTAGACTCGGTCCTAAGTCAGACTTGGGACCGAGTCCCAGTAATCTTATAGTAGTTGCAATTTTATTGGATACAATTAGCAATGATCGACATAACTTGTCTCAGAATTTTCTACAAAGGAATTCCCAAATTTCTGGGTCGTAATGGCCAGAATGTGTTATAGTTAGGGTCAGGGTTAGGGCTATGTTAGGGTTAGCAGAAGCTATAGGCTATAGTAAAATTATCAGCTAGGCACTTTTCACTTAATGAACGATTATTGTTTCATTAGTAAAATTCTTAGTGATCTTGGGGCAAAATTGATCAACTCTGGCCCTTCCGACCAGAGTTCCGAAGCTTCCGATCCGGAATCTCCTAGAAGTTTGTCACAGATATTATTGCATGTGACTACTACTATGAGATTACTGGGACTCGGTCCCAAGTCTGACTCAGGACCGAGTCTAGATTAAAACTCGACTCATGGAGTCGGACCGGACCGGACCGGACTTTTAACATGGTGGATCAATTTTTTATCAGTTATTGTGTCAGCAGAGTTCTTTTCGATTTTTAACAGCTGCCTTACTTTCGAAAGTGCACAAGGAGAGAATCTTCCTGCATTATATATACAAAGTTTATATTCGACGTACCCTCGACGCACTTTCGATCACTAGGGCAGCTGTTAAAATCGAAAAAGACCTCTTCTGGGTATACTGTATAATAAAATACCGGGTAATTTTAAATTTAATATAAAATTTTTTTATTTTAAGAACTATAAAGATATAAATAAAAATGAAAGCATAAATAGTGTCATTTTTAATTTGTTAATAAATATTACATGCTTTACACATTAACAGTTGATTAGCTAAAAGTTTTATTTTATTTAAACCGTATCAAAAATAATAGATACGATCCCGTGATAAGCTATTTCTGTATTTATTCGTCAACTTTAGTTGATCAATCTATTTATAGCGATCAATAAAGATTTGATAACGATAAAATTGACGATCATGGAGGAAGATTCTATCTATGCATGTCCGCCAATGTTGGTGAGGTTTATAGCTTTGTTCAAGATTGCACACCTGTTTGTTTAACAGTTAGGCTGAGATCGGCTATGTCTTTGTTCATGGTCGCTAAAAAATTCCCTGATGCTGTCATATTTTATGGTTTGGGTTGGGGGGACATACATATGATTGAATATCACGTGCGTTTGTATGGTTTGAACAGTTGGCAACTCGTATTACATTAAATATAGTACAATATGAGCAAAATAAACATTTACGTAATTTATACTTGGTAACAATTCTTTTGACTTACGTACTAGGCCTTTTATTTAAAAAAAATCAATACATAATAACGATAACATTACCGAAATGGAATAAAAAATGTTTATCTAATCAAATCCAACGATAATCAAATAATTTATTAGCAACAGTATGAAAATAGTTAAATAACCAAAGTAAAAAAAAAAACAAAAAGGAAATTAATATTAGTAACTCTGCTTTAATAGTTCAAGGGAAATTTTGATAAATTACAATTTATGAAAAGAAGATTGTTCTTTCTAAAAGGATAATTAATATAATCAAACCTTTCGATCGTTTCGCCTGGAAACCAATGGCGTATTTATGAAATAAACAACTATATAAGTGTCACAAATAATAAGATTGAAAAAGGGTTTTATTGACTGAAGATATTATCTAATTATATTTGTTTTTAAATAAATCCCTTAAAATACTTTAGTCCAATAGACGCAGCCCAGTCTCCCACAACCTCGATAGCCCAATCAATCATTTGAACCTTTCAAATCTTGAATTTGCCTAAGTAGAAATGCCTTCTCATCGTTAAATTGTTCATCATCTATAAGAAATATAGCAATGTTAACAAAAGAGTAATGTAAATATGTATGTATAATCATAATGTAACAAACAAACCATGACGTTCGTTATGGAAATTTCCCAGGAATTGGATTAGTCTCTCCTTATTTTTTCCATAAAATGTCAGAGATTGATTTGTTCTTGTTTGGATTTGCTACAAATATCTATCATTATAAGAAATTTATGTTATTAATGATGTGCCTTCGGTTACCCGGTATTACATCAGAGATTATACGCACCTTAAATACATGAAAGGCTTCAAATTGAATATTACGACTTTTATCTTTCAGTAAAGTCATCATTAATTTCAAATTCTCCGCGTTCGCGATATATCGAGTCATTACATTGAAATTGCAACGATCCAATAAAATTTCGCCGAGTAACTAAAGAAAACTTGAATTAACCAACAATCAATAAATTGACAATTACGCATAAACATACCTTCAAAGATTGCCTCTTAGTTACATAGTTGCTCGAATTCAATAATTTGGTATATGATTCGAAAAACTAATTTATGAATAGTTAGTTGTATAGAAAAATGTATGTACGTGAAGTAATAATAAGCAATAAAGAAAAAAAAAAAGAAAACGAAAAAAAAAAACTTAGTACCGTATCGTAATTTGTATCCAAAAATTCAGCCACTAACGTTTTATGACGTGTTAATATTTCCTATTTGAAGCAAAAATATTAAGAATAGACTAATCTTATTCGCATAGAAAATATATAATAATTAAATATCAACCTTGAATGTGGCGAATGCGTCACTTGCAATGTCAAAAGTACTCAATTCTACATACTCGAAAAAGTTATAAAATTGAGGAGAATATAAAATAATTTTAGTCAACGACTCGTGTCGGAGGCATTCTCTAAGAATCAATCCACAATTGAGTGCTATTTCAGAATTTTCATATCTAAAAATGGGAAAATAGAAAATGTTAAAAAATCATTTAAATATAACGTCATATAATTAAGAAACCCTAACCCCTTGAGTAAAGTAAATAAGATATCTTCTTTATTTTTTAAATAGTCGACGGTAGGTGTCAATGAACCAATTTGCCTTCTTAAAAGGTTATTGAATATTTGCGTAACATCTTTCTTTGCCTAGTCATTATTTTGAAGAGCCAATTAATAGAAAATTTTAAAATTTAATACAAAAGTATATAAACTAAAGATTACTTCGAATTCAAATCGCCATATGTTAAGCACGAGTAGTTGCAAAATATCGTTGTTATATACTTCTTGCGCTAATTGCGCGACAGTTTCCTGAACTGGTTCGCTGTCTAAATGTGTAATGGATGTTAGATCACTTTTTTTTAATTTAAAGACAAGCAAAGAAAATTTTCGAAGATATCCTAACCTCCATCGCCATAAAGAATATTTTTCATTGCTAATAAATTTTTCGATATGTCTTCGCTTGCCTACGAAATGACATTTGGTGAGGACCATTCTTCTTATCTTTTCTTATCTTTATCACTAAGCAGGTTGTTGAGAGGTCAGGAACCACTCTTATATGTAAAAAAAACATAAAGTCTTCAAACGGAATAAGGAAGTACTTCTAAAAATGGCCTGAACTCCTTACAACTATATCGTCCCCCAATGCATAAAAGAAGCCTAAAAACAATGCTAGCTCGTCCTTTTAACGAACCTTCTTTTTATCCACACCGTCCAATTTATTAATGGCATCTTTTACAGATTTCACCAGCTCGTGTGGGGTCTTTGACTTTGGCTTGAATAAGGGGAGAAAGCTCATATTCATATGCTTAGTATCTTTGAGACTGGACTTTACAAGAATTGCGGGAAAGAGGGACGTCGTTCTCAGATTTTATTTGGAAGGAAGGGGTACTTATAGCTTCGACCTCCGTATTTCTTTTAATGCGTAGTTTATTCCTATGTGATATTTAATATATTTAAATAAATTTCAACAAAAGTAAAACCCCTGACGACGTGTCCGAGTGGTTAAGGAGTGTGACTAGAAATCACATGGGCTCTGCCCGCACAGGTTCAAGTCCTGTCGTCGTCGAAATAACTTTTTTCTTTTTAAATTTTGCGCCTATATTTTTGATTAGTGTTTGGATCCGTGGATATCCGACTATTTTTTAGCCCAATCCGCTGGATTTTTACACCCGATCATAAACTATCCGATAAGATCTGTTGAATCCGGTAAATCTATTGTAATTTTTTTTTTATATATATGCAAGTCACCCTCGTAATGATGAATTATATAGCGAAGAACAGTTATTGTGAATCAGACTCAAAACCAATTTATATGAAATTTTCTGATATAGTGAATTTACTAATAAAATTCTCAATATAGTGGATTTTCAAATAGAATCGATCATTTCTTTACAACGAGTGTGATTTATAATTTACAAATATATACATTGACGAAACATTAAAAAATATTTATACAAAGAATTCTTTATTTAATAAATTGCTAATTCAGGTACTTTTCAATTACATAAGTCACTTTTTCTACACTAAAAGCCGTTATTTTGTTTCTTCTGTTTTTGTTGTCACAATTTATTCGTACACAGTTTTACGGGATAGCAATAATGAAGTAGAAATTTAATAATTAACATTACGTCACTGTTTTTATCAAAATGTTTTATTACCGTTACGAATAAGCAATTACCCCTGACACTAATTGCGGATGATCCAGTGGATATCCGAAAAAATATCCACGGATTAAAATAGTCGGATATCCATCGGATTTGTTCAACGGATCCAAACACTAATTTTGATGAATGAATGAACTGGGTCCATTAATCGTCACCTGATATTTTGAGGGATGTCTAAGTGAAAATCGTAAATCTTATCCATAAAGATTTTCAGGTTTTCATTTTAGCAAATATCGACATAAATTTAAATATCACGTTTACGCCATATAATAAATCATATAGCTAAATATTAAATACGCATTGGTATGGATAACCTCAATAGATCAAATTCACACTTTTTTTAACCATACTAAGGCTTAAAAGTAGGCTTAATCGGTGATTGACTGATAGAAAAATCATAATTTTGTGTGATAAAATAATTAATAACTAATTCGCTTAAATCGAAATCCAAATAGCCAAATTTAACAAATAAAAAATCTTTCTAAATAAGTCTGATATATTACAACAATTGTCTCCATTGTTCAAAATATTAAAATATTATGGATTCATGCCTAGCAAAGTCCAAATACATGAAATCTAGGTACATTATCGTAAAGTAATTATTAAACATGCTGATAATAGGTAACTAGAGCTGAACTTTAACGTTAAAAAAAGGAACGCTAAAAACTAATTAACCAACTATATTTAAAGTTACCCCAGTCTATGATAAAATTGTCTACGTTAAGGGTCCTCTTACATTAATTATTTCAGCCTTGAGCATAACTACGAGTCCATTCCCGAGCTGTTTCAATTAATTAAATTAGTTTTTGATAAAATGCAACTAAATCTAATTTAGTGAATAAAATGTCACCTGTAGCAATAGCCGCTTTTTCATTCTCCTTCCAATGTTGTGCAACATCATTTGCTAATGGGTCATCTGGATTGGGTGCCGACAAAAGAGCCTGTATGGAGAGAAGTACCGTACGAATTTGAAGAGCTGGCGACCACTTGTCTAAAATAAATAGTCAAGGTATTGGTGAATCAGGGAATGAACGAACCTTTAATAAAAATATTTTTACTAACCTTTCAAAATATCCAAACAAATTCTGCCAAGTTTATCAATGTTTGGATGGTATATTTTAGTAATGAAACGGACCTTGGGTGGTGCCATTGGATATTCTTCGGGCAAAAACAGCTCAAGTTGGAAAACGCCACCTAAAGACAATATCATGTTAAATCGGCATTGAAGAAATTACTACTAGAAGCTTCCTTTGAAAGAAAAAGGCTTGTACCTTCAAAAGGGGACTGGCTCGGTCCAGCAATGATGACATCAAAATAACGGAGATTTTCTTCATGAGGTGTGGCGCTAATGCCGGGTGCAGGCTCTTGTATCAAGCGCTCAGTTTCCTATTGTCAAAGAACGAAAGCTTATTACAAATTTTCTTCCTTAACTGTATGCCGTTGTAATTAACTAATAGCAGGTAAACATTTTTACCTTAACGATTCTCTTTGGTAGTGACATGTTTTTCTAAGATTACGTTTTGATACAGTTCGTACATCGGGTTTTTTCGGACGTTATAAATATTCCCTATACTCACGTGATATACTGTACTTAGTGTATCGGAATCAGGCCCGGCCCGGAAAAATCCCTTTTGATTTGCATTCCGATTTGGTAGGTGCTTAAGAATTAATATGATTGGGGTCATTTTTTTACTTAAGACACAAAAGTAGTTGTGTTAATAAAATTTTGCGATACGTATAGCTTTTTAAAGTTTGTATTTTCTTATGATTTATTATAACAATTGATTTTCTGATCTTTTTTTTGTTAATTTCGTTTCTATTTTATTCCGATCTAAAATTTTTTGTTACTCTTAAATTTTGTCATTATCTAGAATTTTGTTATAAATACTAAAACTACTGTATATTTTACACTACAAGATAAAATTGGAAGTATTTTTTCTTAATTTTAAGAAATATAAAATTAAATATATAAACAATAATATATTTTATAACATAAAGCTAGAATCAATTAGTAAAATTTTTTATTTTTTTTTAAAAAAAAATTTTGGCAGTCTTGCCTCTACTTTATTAGGCTTTATAATATTATACTATGAAATATTAAAAATTTTTCAAGAGGCTATTCCTCTTGATACCTAAATTACAAGTATTAGCTCACCTGGTTATTCAGAGAACACCTATGTGAGACCTGCTATAGTAAGTTTTACTTCTGTATTAACTTGTCCTGCACTTGGATTTGTTAATACTTTGATGGAAGGTTCTTATAGCCTGTCAAGACTATTAATTACTTTTCCACCACTCTGCACGTTAACCACTTATAATCCAACCTAGTACTTTATTTCTCACTATTTCAAGCAGTGATAGTAAATGACCTGGTCATTTGCCGATTTTTCAAATAACCCTAAATGACCTCAAAATAACCAGTCATTTGAGATCATTCAAATTTTGGGTCATTTGGAAATGACTCATAACCAAATGACCATAGTCATTTGAGTCATTGGTCATTTCACATATAGAATTGACATCCTATTGGTCATGAAAATCGATCGTGTAATTTTTAA